ATGTGCAAATCCATTTCGGGCAAATCCGTGAGTAAAATTATTTACTAAAAATTTCTTTATCAATTTATACAATTTTTCCATGTGCATATCCATTTCGGGAAAATCCGTGGCTAAAATTATCTACTAAAATTTTTTTCCTTTGCTAATTTTTCCATGTGCAAATCCTTTTCGGGCAAATCCGTGATTAAATTATCTATTAAAATTTTTTTTCTTTGATAATTTATATAATTTTTCCATGTGCAAATCCATTTCGGGCAAATCCGTGAGTAAAATTATTTACTAAAAATTTCTTTATTAATTTATACAATTTTTCCATGTGCATATCCATTTCGGGAAAATCCATGGCTAAAATTATCTACTAAAATTTTTTTTCTTTGCTAATTTTTCCATGTGCAAATCCCTTTCGGGCAAATCCGTGATAAAATTATCTATTAAAATTTTTTTTTCTTTGATAATTTATATATAATTTTTCCATGTGCAAATCAATTTCGGGAAAATCCGTGATTAAAATTATTTTCAAAACAGGCAATTTATGTTTCTCTTTTCTATTTTATATTTTTTCTTAAATAAGCATCTATTTTCTAAAACTATTTATGGTCAACTTTTTTAAATTATCCAGTATAATATTACCTTGCACACATCCATTTTGGGCCCATCCTTGGTAACTAACAAATCAATGCACAGAATAACAAATCACTTCAGCAGTGCAGTAAGAACGGCACTTTAAAACCCTCTAGTTACACTCAATTTGCGCTTTTGTTTTCATATTTGTAATCTGACAATCTTGTTGCGAAAATATTTTTAAATCATTCTTGAAAAATTTCCCGTCCACTCGCTTTATAGTCTATGTTTTATACTGTTTTTCTTTTCATTTTATTTTATTTTCTGTTTTTACATGTTATTTTTACTTATTGTGTTCTATTTTATTTGTTGTAATTTTCATAAAACCATTTTTTGAGTGCTCCTCACACTATTGTATTAATATATTTTGCTTTGGCTATATTGATACAATATCAGATAGCACTCTTTTTTGCGGATATAATCGTGTGGGCTAATGAAAATATTATATCTTTTCTTCCGGCTTTTTTAAATAAAATTTCATCCTTTTTTTTTCCTTTTTTTTTAAACTGTTGTTTGTAATTTTTGTACTTATTATTCCCCCCCCCCTTTTTTTTTCATATGTCCATAATTTTTCTTTGTTTTATCTTCATTTTGAACTTATCTAATGAGTTCAGTTTACTTGCTGCTTATGCGCAATAAATGAAACTTATTGTTTTTCTTAACTTTCTTTGTGGTTTCTTGTATATATATATACGAGGGTTGCTATTTATATTTCTGGCCTTGGCAACAGTAAGCGTTGTTAGGCGACCGCAGACAATTTTAATCGAAAGTTTGATATTTTTAAACATAAATTCAGCAGACGATTTACCATTATAGCTTCATTTATGTTGTTGACAGTAAATTGAAAAGTTCTTCTTTTTCAAAAAATGGAATTGAATCGTGAACATTTTCGTGTAATTATTTTTCATAACTTTCGACGCGGATTGTCAAGACAAGAGTGCTTCGATGAACTTAATTCTTTATTCAGCGATAAAGCGCCATCCTACAGCACTGTAAAAATTTGGTATAACGAATTTAATCGTGGTCGATGTTCGATCCAGGACGAATCCCGTGCAGGTCGTCCANAGCTGGCATCCAACGAACATATCCCTTCCACATTTCTCCCTTCTCATTACTTTTGATATTTTGCTCAAAAATGACTATATTCTGCTTCAATTTTGAATACATGGGGTTTTCAAATTTGATTTTCATTTGCTTCAAAGCTAATTTGGATCATTTTTCTCAATTTTGAAAATTATTTTTTACAGTGTGGGATCAATTAAAACAGTCCACAGTGGCTTGTGGAGTATAGCTTTTTGAAGAAGCTAATGCTTGCTATCTATGAATAGCCGACAGTTATAATTTTATATTATAACTATCGTTGAACAGCCGTCTCAATTTTGGGTCACTAATGTTCAACTCCGTAGCCTTGTAATTTTGGAGCTAATCCAGAAAACAAAGGAACTAATATTACTCAATATCGGGAGAAAACTGCTCTTATGGAGGACTTTTTGGAAAACCATATATATATTTCTAAAAATCAAGTGCTTTTTTTCTATTTTTTTCTCTATAAGTGACCCAAAAAATATTTCACAATACACATGATCATTTAAAAATAAATTAGCGTATTTGTGTTAAAAAAAAGGAAAATTCTACAACTTCAGCTAAAAAATAATTCTTATTTTAAATTCTCACTTTAACTATAGTTAGACGTAATTATAGTTATATTTAATTTGCTAATTTGCTGTATTAAGAAACATTTCACCTATGAAATTAGCATAACAGTGCATTCACTCGCAATACATTTACAAATTCTAACCGTAAGAATCAAATTTTAAATAACACATATACATTATTTTAAAATAATCAATGGAGAGATGTGTCAAATATATATATATATATATATATTTTAAATAATTTCAGGTATAATTGGCTTAAATAATTGGTTACAAAAACTTTTAGAGAGGGTCTGTCAAATGTGCAAAGTTGCTCATTTCTAAGAGCCAGCAATGTTGCATTCATGAAATATTTTAAAAAAATGAACAGAAATATAATATTTGAGGGAAAAAGAAAAAACAAACAAAATAAAAAAACGATCCTGACTGGTAGTTGAAACGTGGCATTTGTTTACGTTAGTAACTGTTCTTTCCATTCTGCTTCGAGTAAGCTAACACCATCAATTCTCTTAAGTGATACATTCTATAATCCTTCATAAAGATTCTTTCTCAAAGATTTTAATTGTTTCACTAAATATTTACACAGAAACTTAACGCAGAAACAGGCACGAGGCCATAAGGAACATACTAATTATGCATCGAAGGTGCCTGGTACACAAACCAAAAATATATCATGGTTACTATAACATAGATAAACAAATAATAAATCTTAGTTAAGTAAAACCAGTAGACGTGAAAAAATAATATTTCATCTAATTCGATGAACGATACGACTCCGTACTTATTTAACTTATTGTTAATTAAAAATTTTAACTTATGTAAAGAAACTTAGCTCAACTTTAATACACTATTTTGCTGATAAAGATTAGCTGACTCTGACGTCATTGGTTACATGTGTGGGTATGGGAGGTCTTCTTCTTCTTCTTCTTGAAGTGCAAGTACCCAATTATATTTTAACATTCAGCATTTAAACTATAAAATCATTAACCAATACACTACTTCACAATTTATTTTATTTTTATTGAAAAGAATAAATACCAGAAGCATCATGCTAATATTAGAGTGCATGTTACGCGTTTTAAACTTTTCCCCATTTCTCATACTTTCCCATTTTTATACTTTTTACCATATATAAGATGCATGGTTAAATTCAGAAGGAAGAAGTTTTAGAAAAAGTATTCACTAGTATTTTATTTGTTCAATAGATGGCAGCATTAAATTGTGAATAATTTATTTGAAGAGAAGGTTTGCTCTTTTTTTCTTTTTTGCTCTTACAAAACAAAGTTTAATAGTTATTCCTTTATTCTTAAAAATTCTAACCAAAATTTATTTTTATCTTATTATTTTAAAATGTTTAAAAACTTAACTTTCAATTGCTTGAATTTCTTTTTAATTTTACACTATTTCAGCATTTATTTAGTTATAAGTAATTAACGAGATGGCAGCACTAAGGATTTCGTTAGAGACAGCATAATAGTCTGTTAGAATTTCTAACTATAAAACTTCCAAACTATATTAATTTATTTTTTATATAGAGCTGTTTTTTTTGCTTGAAATAACTGCTACGTCAGAACTGAACTTCATATGTGAATATTGTTCTAAACAAAAAAAATATATTTTAACACCAAAAAAGTGTTCTTTTGAAGCACAAAATAGTTTCTTACGAAAACCTTACACTTCTCTCGAGCCAATGATAAATTACATATTATGACGATGATATATTTTAATATTATGACGATGATATATTAGTTTTCCTAACTCAAGAAAGCACATTCATAAGTTATAATCGATAAGGGTATAACATATAGCATATATGAAAATGGTTAATAATATTCCAAACACTAATCGGAATAACTATACCAATAAAGATTTATATTATACTCAAAAGAGTTTCTCCAATAATTAATTTCTTTTTAGATGATAATAACTTATTACAAAATACGTCTACAATGACAAGCGTGAAAGATTAGAGGAAATTAATTTAAGCCATGCACTCTCTGATATTTTAAACCAGGTCATTTTTTTTAAATCGTTACATCAGATTTAATGGTACACGTATCGCAATAGATTATACTGCTCTTCACTTAAATAATCGAAAGATTTTGCCCTTCTCTCCATTTGTTTAATTTTTCCCTTTCATTCCACGAGATAAACATTACGCTAATGTTAAGTGATCGGTAAAGAAGAAGCTAATTGGACAAAGAGGAGTACAAAATCTATCAAATACTGCACACTCACGGTAACTGAAACAAATACAGTTATAAACTAAGTCTGACATGAGGGAAGAATAAAAAATCCCAGCGTGCTTCAGAATCATAGGATTCATGTACAGTTTGTCTGAAGTAAGAACTCCCCTAGTCATTCGTCGAGACTCGTGGCGGTGACTATGGTAACGAGGTATAACTATTTCAAGTAGGGGTGTGGGTCATTGTTTAGGACAGGTTTTGGCTCGGGTAGGCGATGGAAAGGGAATCTTTTTCTTCGGTCTACTGTATTTGCCCTAGAGTGAAGAGAAGCTACCCTCCCTGAAATGCGTCATTCTTGTTTCCATAGCAGCGGACGGCTTCAGACTTTGTGACGGGGGGAGTTCTTATCGTAGGCGAACTATAAGATATTTAATTGAGATGAAATTAGTTATTTATGTAGGAAAATTGGAATACATCGTAAATTTCAAAAGAATTTCTCTTTGCCAAACAATAAAAAAAAATATTTTATTATTATTAATAACAATGCAGTACACAGTTTTTGTATTTTTTTTTTTCACCTGCAACGTTATTTTCTTTCTTTAAAACATAAGTTCTGGGGCATTAGTTTTGTAACAAGACCATTCCTTATATTGTAATGAGCCTTAGCACCATCAGGTAAAGAAATTTCAAACTTTCTTATAATTTCTGTAAAATATCCTAAAATTTCTCTCCAAGCAATCTTTTCACCAGGACAGTTCCTTCGTCCTACATATAGAAAATAAAAATGAAATTATTCTAAAAATTTCTAATAAAATATAAATATTTGTAGTGTTTAAAAATCACAGACTTTTTTGGCTATATTAAAATCTATAATCAGATGTAACATTTGTATCAAGTAAAAAAAGGTATTTAATTCCTTTTTCCTCGCTTAACCATGCAAAATTTTAAATTACAGGTGTCCCAAGTTTACGCAAGCTTCGAATTTTATGCTTTTCGTGCACTAAAATGTCACAAATTAAAGACGGCAGCACAACTGGTAGTTCAAAGGCCATTAAAAATGGAGCATTATGCAAGAGAGCAACATCTATTCATTGTTGAGCAATATTCTTATCCAAGTTAAATAATTCCCTAGTTGTGTTGTCATTTTGACAATCAGAATTTGCAGCCCAGATTATTAAATTTAACTTCATATGATTTTTTTGTGAATTTTTTTTTCTTTTTTGTCGTTTATGCAAACAAGCATGTAGCTATCCAATGTGTAAAAGAGGAAATTGAGGGCAGTTTCAATGAAATTCAAGCACAATTATGAAGAACAGTTAATGAAAATTTTGACCAAAGGACACCATTGTGAAAGCGAAACTGCAGAAGCAATGTAAGCATAGCTCTATTACGTTGTTACCCTTACTCTACATACTCTTAAATGTATGGGTATATTATTCCATACATAACCTTAGACTGTAAACTTAAGAATAAATAATAAATCACAATTTTTTTCCTCTTAAAACCTGTTCTGTCAAAAGGATGGTTTGCTTGGATTTTGGGACACTCTGTACTGCGACTTTTTTCATTCAACCTGTCGATGGCTGAGAAGTAGGTAACTCGTTATAGTTAGGTAACTCGTAATAGTTAAGTAACTCGTAATAGTTAGGTAACTCGTTAGACCAAACTTAACAAAGTACATTTTTATAAAGTTTGTTTATATAAAATTCTTTCTTGATTTAGAATTTTGAAAAATTACCTGCAATGCTGTAAAAAAGTACAACTTACCCATACTAAATGGCGCATACTGAGCTATTTTTCCACTGAGTTCTGCACCATTATTAGATAAGAACCGCTCCGGATTAAATCGATCTGGCTCTTCCCAATAGTTGGGATCATTATGAATTCCCCATAGGTTGGCCGCTATTTCTGCACCTTTTGGAAGTGTATAACCTTTTACTGAGATTTCTTGATTGAGTCTATTCATTGTAAAGGAATAAAGTTACATTAGAAATAGTTTACAAAGTTGAAAATTAATTTTGTTGAAAAATGTAATACCTTTAAATTCTGAACCAGATAAATTTTCGGATTAAATTACTGAAAAAACTTTATCATTTCTTGCAAACATCTGCTATATTTATAAAATCTTCTTTTACATAGTTTGTAAAAAAGCGAATTCGTCATTTATTTTTACTTAATAGTTTTTCTATTTCCTTTTAACCAATTTCAATTTTGTTATTAAAATAACTTCTAAAAGGAATTGTATCACTTTAGAAAAATAAATAATCGTAAATATATTGCTTTTTAATTGACAAATTTAAAATAGCATTTACTTATTAATTTTTGTGAAAAAATACTTTGCCTATAAAGTTTAAATCAGTAATTATTTTTCTATTTCAAAGCCAGTAATTACAAACGTACATTTAAAAAAAATCAGTAAATAATTTTGTAATTTTGTAAACAGTTTCAAATGCAATTATTTTTAATATAATATACGTAAATACGTGTGCACAATAATTACTTAAAAGAGTTTCAATAAAATTTTGTAGTTAAAGAAACACATTAATAAAGCTCTTTATAACGAATCTCAAAATTTATTTTGTATATTGACCTAATTTTAGCGTTGCATGTTTATTTATTAAATCTCAATTTGAATTTTATGCAATTAAAATATATCTTATATTGGCCTACACACTGTTGGAATTTTTATTCCAAAATAACCTAAAAAAATATCTAAATTTGAAGAAAAAAAATAACTTTATTATAAGTATTCTTTTTCCAAAAAATTAAATGTAATGAAATGTTACATATGAAATATAAATTATATGTTCTAAGTTATTTCACCTTCCAAAACCTTTTTATTTCATTTTATGAAAGAATTCTTTCAGAAAGAATGTTTATAGAAGAAAAGTATATAAGATAGCATTTAAAAATAGCAGTTATTAAAAAATCTTCATTTCATATTTACTCTTTCTCTAAAACTGCTCAGCATTAATTTTTCTTTCAAATATTGTTATGCAAAAATATTCTGTATATAAGCGAGTTTAAAAGTTCTATAAACTTTATCAATTGGATTTTATTTTTGTCTTCATCTGTGTTTTAAAAGAAGACACTGGTCGTCGTAATCGATACATTTTTTATCTAAATTTAGAATAAAGTACATGAAAGAAAATAGTTTTCATTTTTTCAACATTTATTCTCTTGAAGTATTCCTTTTTTTTAAATATTTCAATAATTCTTTCAAAGAAATTTTATCAACATTTTTATTTTTATTTTCAACAATTCGTTCAAAAAAAAATTTTGAAGTATTCCTTTTTTTAAAAATATTTCAATAATTCTTTCAAAGGAATCTTTCAAAAAAATTAATTCTTTAAAAAAAAACTAAACCTAGATATAAAAGAATAATTAACTTTAAAAAATATTTTTAAATGGATTTCAGGAAAAATTTCATCTTCTTTTAACTAAAGAAATCTCGCCTGAAAAAAAACTCACTTTCTTGTAGTACTAATTGGCACAATGCTTGACACTCTCTGCGCTTCCAACAATACTGCAAAAGTATAGGGAATCTCATCTCTTTCTCCGTATTTTGCTTTACCTTCCTTCCCTAAAACGTCCATTATTTCAGAATGAACCTTTCCTTGAATATCCTTATGATCAGCCATGAGTCTCAGCAGCCATAGCAAAGAACTATGTATAGTGTCACTTGCACCCAAAAATAAAATGCTTAAGTTTCCTTCCAGCATAAACTCTAGATAAATAAGAAAGAAATATTCAAACGAATGTTTACCATCTCTTGTGGTGTTAATGTTTAAAAGTCTAGTTTTATAAACATTTTAGTTTATGAAAGACATATTTATTTATGTATATTTTATATTTAACTCAGATTTCATGCTTAGCGATTACTACATTATATGAAATAGTTATATATAAAGAATATTTAAGATGTAATGAAAGCATCTACAATTTGTCCGGCATCGGAACAAAGTTAAGTACATTTTGTACAAACTTAATTTATTTGTGTGTCTTATTCGATGACACAAATTACAATAGTCGAGAAATTGCAAAAATTTTGATTATGGTGTTCTTGATATTTGGTGTTCTTCTTTCGTATTTATTTGTATATTTTGTTCCACACTAAAAATGACAATAATCACCAAAATGTAAAAGCTTTGATTATGGTGTTCTTTTTTATGTATTAAAAATAGGCTCATTATGTTTTGTGCATTCATTGCAATAGTTGATGGTTGATTAAACACGTTTGGAAAAAGCATAATTTGTAATGTCTAAGGCAAAATTTTCTTAATTTTGTTCACTTAAATTAAACTCCATGAAGTCAGCAAGAAAATTGCTTCATAGAAATTTTATCCTAAAAAACAAATAAAGCTCACTGTACCACCAATTATTCAAAGTGATTGTATTTTTCACGGCTGACGCATTTATTAGCTAAAATATTTTACCAAAACACTTTAGCTATCCAAATGCTCTGAAAAAATGAAGAAAAATATTAACAGAATTAAAATCATTAAAAAAACACACTAAAATATCCCGGATCAAATTAAGGTAAAAAAATACGGGCAGTCGCGGTGCCGCCACTTTTTACCGTAAAATCTATATTTACTGAAACATGTTGCAGAATAAAAAATATGATATACCGTAATTTTAACAATAATAGCTACGGTAAAATCACTGAATCACTATAATTAAATAAATATTACTGTAAAAATTACGATGTAATATTTTATGGTAAAAATAGATTTTATGGATGATGCACCCAAAGTGGCGCTGATTTAATAAGTAATTTGATCCGAAATTTTTTGCGGTGCACTTTATTAAAAAAAAATAATGCTAACAGAGAAACGAAGTGATAGATTTGCTTTAGATCTCTTTACTATTTTTCCAAAGACTCAAGCGTCGATTAACATGAATTATAATTCATTTTACTCAAAATTTATTTAAATGTATAATTTTAAAAATACACAAAAATCAGTTTTAAAGGGAACGACAACTATAATGAAATAAATATTACTGTAAAAATTACGGTATAATATTTAATAGAAAAAATGGTTTTTACGGAAGAGGCACCGAATATGACGGTATTTCATACCAAAATTTAATCTGGAATTTTTTACATTGCTCTTTAGAAAAAAAAGTAATACTTGCAAAAATAATAAGTGCTATATTTGCTTTAGATTTCTACTATTTTGCTAAAAACTTCAGAGTAGCTAAACATGAATTATAACTTTTTCTGATTCAAATTTATTTAAATGTATAATCATATAAAATTTATATTATTACCAAATGCATCAAATATAAAATGTATATAGAATCACAAAAAAAAGAGGTTAAAAGGAAACGATTACACAAAATAGGTACCTGAAAAGAAATGCTCCGTGTTATCTGTTTTCGCCATGGACTCGATTTTCTTCAAGTAGGAATTAATAAAATCTTGAAGACCATCTGCATCAGTGGAAGATTTATGGCGAGCAATTTCTTCTCTGAAAGTTAGAATAATTTTTCTTAAAATAAAACACGAATTAACTTATCGAAATGCAGCATAATATATAATGAAAGGGGAAAATAGGAAATAACGAGACACGAAATGAATAAAATGTTTTTAGAGATTACCTACAAAAGTTAGACGCAAAAGTTTGTTGATTAATATTTTCATTTTAAAAAATTTATTTTAGACAGATATGTATTATAATTTTTATTTTTATCATTTTGAAAAATAATATTTTTAGGAGTTTACCAAGTAATGTGATACTGTTTTATGATTATTCTTTTTTCCCAAAAAATTAAGTGCAATTAAATGTTACATATAAAGTGCAAATTATATGTTCTACGTAAATTTCACTCTCCAAACATTTTTATTTCATTTTATTAAAAAAAAACTTCAATACAAAGAATATTTCCTGAGGGAAAGCTTATAAGATAGCATTTAAAAATGGTTAATGCAAAAGGTTATTTATTTTGTATTTGCTGCTTCTCTAAAACTGTCCAAAAAAAATTTTTTTTTAATATTATTTTGCAAAACTATTCTGTATATCAGCAAATTTAAAAATTCCACTAAGCCAGCTTCGTAAACTTTGTCCAGTGAGTTTTAAATTCACTTTCATTAATGACAAAGTATGAGCTGCGATGGCTCAGTGATTATGACACTGAACTGTCATTGTGATAGACCGGGGTTCAATTCCCTGTGTCAGCTTGAAACCCGACCAGCTTCAGATGAATGGGTACCAGCTTTTCTGGAAAGTAAAGGCCTGTGCGCAGTACTGACCACATAGACGAAAGCAAGGTCATGAGATTGTAGAGCCTTTACCTTCATGACCCCCTGACCACCAACGGACTGTTATGAGAATGCTTTACTTTCATCTTTTGATGTTAAAGGGTAACTTGTAACAGTTTTTCTTAAAATGGTGAACAAAAACAATGCTTCAATCCTTAGAAGAATTCATATTTGTTAAACTTCAAGTAAATATTTTTAAAAAATAGAAATTCTTTTAATTAAATATTCCGATTAAAACCACATATCAGAAATAGTTAATATCAGAAATAGTTTAATTTTAAGAACAATTTACAATTAAATTAGTTACCTAACGAACATTCCAAACTTTTTAACGGTTTCAGCTGCTTTGTCATATCCAAAAAGTCTGAAGAACTCTAAATATTTTCTTAGACCAGGAATAATACTTGCAGGTTCGGAAGGGCTCAAATATGCAAATGCTGTTTCCATAAATTCTAAGGCAAGCTCTATTTTTTCTGCTTCTTTTTCCTTATTTAGTCTACGGCCAATCAACAAAGACAATATATTAGAAGCTACAGAGATGGCTAAAGGTTTAGAAATATCAACTGGCTTTCCTCCGGTTTTTGATAATTCATCCTTGAAACTTTCAACTTCATCCTACCAAAGTAATTATATGATTTAAAATAATGCGTAATTTTTTATGCATAAAATATGTGGCTGCACATTTCAAACATTTTTAAAAAGCACATTACAAATTTAGATTTTTTTCAGCTTAAAATGATTTTTACTACCCCATAGCAGTTTTCTTTCGCTACAAAAATTTAAAGATTGGATTTTATGGAAAAAAATGCAACAATAAATTATAATATTTTTTTATTTTGTTGTTGTTTATCTCCCACATAGTCTGACTCCATCAGACCAGATCTAAGAATCCGTTGGCATTCAAAAAATCATAAACAAGAGGAGATGCGTGAATTCCATACAATCAAAGCAGTCCAAAATCTCCAAATGTCCAGATAAGTTACAAACAGTCCAAAATATGTTCAGGTGAAGCCTGGTGCGCACTTGTGGCCAAAAGAGTATGTTTTTATACCCTCAGAAAAGTGTAAACTCTTTAAGTGGCCACTGGCGAGGTGCGAGATGGTGGTTCAGATTTTCCTACTATAAGAAAGGGTCAAGGCTAAGCCTGGTCTACTACCCCGGTACCAGTGGTAGGTAGGAGGTATCATTTTGTTTCAGAAAAGTTTAAGATATGATAGATTTATGGAAGAAGCGGGGGAGAGACTTCAGCCTGCTTTTGGAAGACTATATGTTAAGTCATTTTCATGGAAATTCAAGTGGGAAGGAATTCATTGTAGTATATGTATATTATGCTGAGGGAAAATGTGTTTTAATTTATGTGTTTTAAGTCTTGTCCCCTATGTGGTCCAGTTATTATGATGTTGCATTGAGCTGCGACTAACATTCAGTTTATCGTAATTATATTTCCTCAGAATAACCAGTCACAAGACTCTTATCTGTAGCAAGAAGTTCACTTCTGAAAACAGAATAGAAGTCTGGGATACGTTGACATAGAGAAACTGTATCTTAAATCTGTTGTTTTTTATTCTAACTTAGAGAAATACAGGCTCATTACAATAACTTTTTAAATAGATAAACATCCTTTAGTTTATGCTTTTAATTTTATAACTTGTAAATTAAACTTTATGTTAGATTTAAATATCAAACTTAAAAAAAGATTTGAAAAAAATTCTTTTTTCCAGAAATTGCATTTATTGCATAAATTATAATGTAACTTTTAATTATTATTTACTATAATTATTAAATTTTATTACCTATTGTTGAAATAAAATTTTTCCAGAAGCATTTAAATTTCTGAAATCATTACTTAGTAAACTAAAGTTAGTACTTCGTAAAACAGAAATTGAAAATACCGTAATTAAATCTTCCCAAGATTGTCTTCCAAGACCTAAGTCACGTGCCGCAGAGAGGCAAAATCTCCGTTGTTCGATCCATTTATTTCCATTTTCAACTTGAAATCCTAACGAATACAAATATTGAAAACATTTCAACCAGTAACAACATTTAGTAAACCAGTAACAACAATTATAAACCAAGTAACAACAAGTAAACAGTAAAAACAATTTGAAATAAAAGTATCTATTTCTGCTTTTTTTCAATAAGTATTATATTTTTAAGTAGTATTAAAACATAATTGACCAAAGTATTGTCAAATAAAATTTTTTAATTAATTAATTTTTATATTCCAATACCACAACACTGCCACTAAGTGTTAATAATATGAAGGTGAGCAGTTCTAACCAAAACGGCCGTCAGAATTGTTTATTTGCTTCTGCGTATTATTTTCAATAAGTATTAGATTTTTAATCAGTATTAAAACGTAATCAATTAAAGTGTCATCAAATAAAAATATTTAATGAACTAATTTTTTTTAAATAAATTTTTACAGTTTTCGTCAAATTTGAATAGAAACGAAACCTAAATATTACCAATATTAAAACTTATTTAGCTTAGTTTTGTTGTTTATGTTGCTTTAAGTAAGTAATCGTTAACAAACTTTATCTTTATTCATTATCAAGTGATAAACAATCGCATTTTATCATAAAAAAATCAAGATACTTGTAGCAAATACAATATTTTTTTTATCTCAAAACAAAGTTCAATTAAATTTTATGATTAATTTCATAACACAAAAGATAAATATCAAAAACTATTTCAGATTCTTGTCGGCGCTTTTCATGACTAATACTTGTATTCGTCTATAAACTATTTATTTATCTCGTATTTAAGGATATTTCTATTCTGATTATAACAATGTTTACTACGCATTTGTTGAAGTTATCTTCAACTTTTTAATTAGCATTATACCGTTTACGTTTTAGTCATTTTAACTATTTAATTGCGATATTTTATGGTATGTTAATTGTCGAGTTTAGTGGAAGAACCGGCTAACTGACATTTTAGTGAATTTGAGTAAATGAGACTAAAAAGTTTATACGTTCCGCCTTTTTGTTTTTTCGTTAAATTTTTATATTTTTTATGTGTTTGTTAAGACATATTTCACAACAATTTTGAGGGTGCATTTATTTGATTCTAACTGTTTTATAAAGGAAGAATTTAATGATTTTTCTGCCTAGCATTTGCTTGTTTTCCGGACGATTTTTAATATTTTTCATGAAAAATAATTTCATTTGAATAGATAAAATAAATATACATATATTTATTTATCATAGAATAAAATTTTAGAAAAAAGTTCATAGAATAAAATTTTAGCAACCTTAATTTGAGACAAACTGGCCTTGTTAGTCCACCGATCAAAAATGATTCAGAGCAACCTGAGCTCAACTTTTGAGAAGTAGATGTGTCGTTTCAATTGGCAAGCATTCGGTAATTTTTAATTTCAAAAATGTATTATTTAAAATAGCGCTTATTATGGTCAAAATGTTACGAAATTTTGTTACAGGTATTTCTGAAATTAAATATAAAAGCATTTTTTCTAGATTTAATACAGGAAATGTCTAAGTATAGTTGTTGAAATACAAATTATTTTCAACTTTTCATTAAAAATTTCCAGTTTCATGCAAAAATTGCACATAATTAATAAAAATGTTTATGAAACAGTTTTGAGTTTTTTTTTCTATCGTGGTAAACTACGAGTTCATGATTAGTTTCGCGATTCTCATTTTTCATAATGTAGATTAACACTTCATGAATTTCCGCGGTTGAACACCTACAGTAAATATGCAGTTTGTTTGGTTTTTTTTTTCGTTTTTTTTTTCTCTTTTTCAATTTCTTAACCCTGAATATGGAAGACACATGTTTAAGGAACAAGATCACATTCGCCTTCAATAAGAATTCTTTAAAACGAAACTATTTAGAATTTCCTCAATATGGTGAAATCCAGAAAAACCTCTCGTGGTTAGCCGAATGCCAATGAAGCTCTGATATGTCTCTACCAAAGTGCAGTTTGTATCAACACTGTAATCTCTGCTGGTAGGGAACAAAATAAAGTTTAACTATCTATCTCTGTGATTCGTTCAAATGCAGATTTAATGTGTCTCCGCTGAGCTATGCCGATTTTTATGAAAAAGATGCCATTAGTTTTGTCAAACATATGAGTACGCTTATTTTGGATTTAACTCTTAAGATTTTAAGCAAGTGCACTTATCTTAAAGATTGTTAATGAGCCCCTTCTTATTTACAGTTTAAAATTAATTATCCGAAAAATAGAAAAATGTTTGGTAATAGGTAATATGTTTTTTTCTTTTTTTTTATCGTGTCCATGGACAATTGAATGGCCTCTTGTGCCTTCAAAATAGCATCCGTAAGCTCCAATACATCATTACTGTAAAGGATCTCACGAAGTTCTGGAGCCAGTGGCACCATACCCAGTTGTAAAACATATGGGGTAAAGGCTGGGCACTCGAGAATGTGATCCGGGAAAAGTTGGACATCGGTGCAGTTCTTGCAGGGAATATAAGTTCTTATTTCGTCGGGAAGAATTTTCATCCCTTTAAAGTGGTTTGTTCTTAGTCTAGTAATTGTTGATGTTAAGATTCGGGAACAATTAAAGTCAGTAATGAGGGGTTTCCTGAAGGAATGGGGCAGAAGTCTGTGTCTTGCAACTGCATTTGCGTCTGCAAGCGTGATGGTGGTACAAGGTTGGTCGTCACCTCTGCCTTTCTTAGCCAAGGAGTCCGCCTACTCGTTACCCTCAAGGCAATGTGTTAATATGTTATATGTTTATGGATAATAAGTTAATTTAGTGCTGTTTTAAGATGTACTATATATAAATATACGCATCACGATATCAGTACTAGGGAAACAGATTTTTTGCAGCCTACACCGAATGGAATACGTATCGGAGAAAAATGCTAATTATGGTAACATTTGACTATCAAAAGTTGGTCTGCAGCAATAGAATTATGCCAAATACTGAACATTGTTAATATTCCTTTTGAGAGGACGAACTACTAAACACATGTTTTGCTTATTCCAATAATGTAAAGTCATGAAAAAAAGCAGCATATAACAATAAATAAATAAAAAAAATCTGGTATTTTAAGTTATTTAGTTAATTGTGTCCGTATATCTCTTTCAATTTTGTGCATGATTTTGTAATGTTGTTCATCACCAATTTATTGATTATTAAATTTCATTTGAAAGCGAAAACGAGTATTCAGCTAGTAACAATAATTAATAAACTGAATAAAGTTGTCTAAGCACTGAATACTGTTTCTTTTCAACGCGATTTTGCTTGGAAAAAAAAATTTCATTCTTTACCAAAGCAGTATGCTTGAAACACAAACTAATGCAAACCAGAAACAAAAAATTTTTATAATAAAGCTGTTTAAGGGTTAGTTTTCTTGTCTTTTCTAGTTATTGATTCGTAAAAAAATATTAATTCCTCTTTTCAATTTTTTCATTTTCACCAATTTTGTTTCCTTCCCTCGCCTTAGCGGTCGATTCCAAGTGATTTTCCATTTTCTAGGGTCGTTTATTGAATATTTGTCGCCAAATCACTTAACCGGTTTTTCCATCCAATAAATACTCAAATAATGTCACAGATCCGGTTCTTCCACTGAGTATCTTTGAAATGAATAGATTTAGAAATATAAATGAACGTTAAAATGAGATAAGAATAATGACTTTCTATAACAACTAACAATTAAAACCAAATAACTATTCACTAATTAATAAAATAGGAGCTTTCACTGAAAAATGTCAATTTTTTAAAAAATGTCACTTGGCTAGTTCTTCCACTAAGATCTTTAATTGCTTGACGATGAACCAATGTGGTTTAAAAATTTCAAGCTAAGTCAAAATATGTAGGAAGTAACATTATTGATTTAAATTTATTTATGATTTTGATAATTATTTTACTTATTTATGTTCTATTTTAGACTTTTGTAATTTTCATATTCAACCTCTCTCGTAAATGTTCCGGTAAAATAAATTTATAAAGTTTTTTTTTTTTTTGCGAGAGAGAGTGACCAAAAATTGATGAAGTAAATATGTCACATAAAATTCTATTTCAATTTTGAACGTAGCTAATTAGTCATATAAACAGAGCAGTATTGTTTAAAATATCAATTCATGCTTAGAAAATTGAAATGGATTCTTAAATTTATCCCATCGGAATTGTTGATTGTACCTTCGGGAGAGGGAGGTTAGATAACTGCAAACAATCAAACTAAAATATATTCTATTCATTTACAAGTAAGTGAATAATTCCTTATACTAAAAAAAAGAAAAGGAAAATTTGTGAAAATCGTGAGAGTTAAGTGAGCGATGTCGAACGTAGAGCTCTAAAAATGAAACAAATATTTTGCATCCAACTTCATATTTATATTGCAAAGCAATGAGAGGCCTTTTTTTTATCTTTTTGAAAAGTTAACTGCATTTACAAATTATATGATTCAAAAAGCAGTCAGTTATCAATAGTCTTATTCTTTGAAATTACATATGAAAACCTCTTTTTACGTTAGACCATAAATTATTCATTCAAAATCCATCAACCTAGTTCAAAAAAGCAAGAGCAGAATACGAAATTTATTTTCCTTACAATGCTTTATTATTTACGTTTAGATTCTTTATCATCCCCAGAAATGTATAAATAAAAAGTATTACATTTTTTTCAATTAATTAGCAATCTATATTCAAGAATCCGTAAATATTACAAAATAACATTAACATCACAAACACAAATGCATGCGACGATTCTCAGTGATTTTTTTTCTACTTACCGATACAGGGTAAAGAATCAAATTGTTCTTGTGCTCTGTCTAGAGCTGCAGGATGAGATAGTACTTCCTTGGCGATGTTGTAATCATTTATTATTATTGTATATTTATTTCCGAAATATAAACTGAAAATAGAAATGCACACAATCAGGAAAATGCATTAAAATAGCAAAATATAAGGATATTATAAAAACTTTTTTAAAAGATGAACATTTTACAGCTGATTAAGCGCGTGAATTTGGCAAGATTTTGTATGCACTCTCTGCGAATGATATCTACCGATTAACTGGTTTCAGAAACACATCGAACATGATATTGCCGATTTTATTTATCCCATGAATTGCATGAGTCATTATATATCACTAACTACATTGTGTGAAATTTTATGTATCAAACCTTTAATATAACACAATTAAGCCCTCATCACGTATAGTTCATTAAAAAACCTGAAGAAATTTGATCATGCTTTTATAGGGTCAAGTGGGGTAATTATGACAGTGAGGTTATTATAACCAGCGCCATTTTTAAAAATTTCGTCCAGAATAAAAATGTGTATATTTTGTTTGATGAACCTTAAAATAATTGTTAGATAAAAATATTGAGCTAATTTTGTAATTATTTTGTATAAGAATGCAAATTTTTGAAAAGCTGGTACGGCACACGTTGATTTAAAATGGTTTTAACTCTCAAAGGAAATTTTAGTGGTAAGGGCTAAAAAAGGTTTATAATTAAGCCCATGGTGTTTATTTATACTTTTGATCATAATATTCTGTCTAGATTAAATATTATTATTTAAAAGTATATGGCAAAAAAATCCATTTTAATGGGATAATTATGACCATGCTTAATGTTAACTTAAATTTTACTGCTGTTCACTTGCCGACCGGCCTCTGTAACTGGCCTTGCGTCAGAAAGGTTCTGGGTTCGAATACCGGGAAAGACATGGATGTTCTTTCATTCTCTGTACTATTTGTTCTTACTGTTGGAGAAACGTTGACCCAACTAATATGGTGCCCATGAAAGAGTGGCCAACAAATCTGCCCTTCAGATGCCTGTATGGCAAAAGGTACTTCTCCAGGTGGGCATTGGAAAAAAAGTGCTGTTCCGTTGCGGAAAAATGAATAGGATATACATTAAAAAAGTTTCATCCTTTTAACTCTTAAAAAAATCTGTGGGAATCTCTTACGGTGATAAAAAAAAAAGAAACAGAGGCATCGAAAAGCTAAAAGAAAATATAACAAACCAAGAAAGATAACAAGATGGAAGATATCAAGAAAGATGACAAGAGCAAGAAAATTAAAATTTTCCTATATGATCCGAATTACCCAAAATATTTAGTTCTTGAGATTTTTGGTGGGGAAGTTATGATCACTTCTTTAAAAGCTTACATTCCTACCTTCTTTTCCCTAAACCCACCATAAATCATCAGAACATTTAACTTAATTTTAAAACGATATAAAGGAGTTCAAAATTAAAAGAGGTCCTAATTAGCCCAACTGACCATATCTGTTTTTGGAAGGAGAATGACAAAATTGTGCTCACCAATTATATTCCAGTAGATGATAACTCTCGGCTAACTGTCTTTAGAAAGAAATTAAATGATATTTTGTCGCCTTTATCAAATAAATAGATTACATGAATTATGGAGAAAAACTATGCATGAGTTATAGAATGCAAAATTTTATGTTAACACACTTTAATACAATTACGATCTTTTAACGTATAATTGATTAGGAAATATTAGAGAAGTTTGAGTTTGATCTCGTTTTTATGGTTATGGCGCAAATAAAGACTATATTATGCTTGTGCTGCTGATTCACGTCAGGCAAATAACTGCCGATTATTACTAGCTAGAAGAAAAATACTAATCATAATATTATACAGTTATTCTTCTTATCAGATCGACAGAAACACCTGGAATAAATTTATGAAGCCATGAGAACCACTCTCAGACTGAAGTATAACTGGCTCTTCTGTAAGTCAATAAATTTCGAGGTATAGGCTGTCCTGACTGAAATAGCATTTCGGACCAAGAATAATATTATCGATTGTAATACTCACATAAAGTACATGAATTATAAAGAATAACATATATGTTTAAGATTTTCATGAGTATGCTTTTAATCAAACGCGAATGCGACTTTGCTGCAGAATTCATGTAAAAAAATTGACCATTTGAAAATAATTAGTCTTCGTTTATATTTCATTTGCAATCGCAATTGTTGTGGCTTAGTTAAAAATTGTAATAGAAAAACCATTTTATCATGAAAACAATTATATTAGTATTATTCAATATTTTTAAAAGTCATTCAATATTATAAAAGTTACTATTGACTTAAACATTTAAAAAAGTATTCACTAGATTTATCTATTTTGATAACATGCACGTATAAAGACAAGATTAATTCAGTGTAGTTTGTATGTTTTCAAGATGTTTGAATGAATTCAATAAAATCTGTATTTTTTAACGTCAGTTTTAAGCTCAGAGAGTAAGATCATTCCATGCAGATTTTAAAAAATATGCATATATTAGGGATTTTTTACCCAGCTTACTACTGCTCATCATCCCCTCTGATTGCTTCATTTTTGTTTAGTGACAATAAACGTATTTATGACTCATACTTAAAAATAATTCAATTATTACTAGTGATAATTGTTATAAATGACTTCCCTTAATATCAGACAAGGCCCATCTAACATCTCATTTTACACTAGCATAACGGATTTGACACTTTTATTCCAAAGTATAAATAAGTCTTTTAATTTGAAACATTTTATAACAAGATTAGCATATTATTTATAAATAATAAAAAAAAAGTTAGAACCCAGATAAAAGTACAAGGTTGATTTCAACGTCAACAACAACCTTTACCACAAAGCCCAACAATATTTATAAATGTCTAGCAAATGAACCATACAAGCTTTAAACAATATTAAATTTTACTATGTTAGTTTCCAAGCTATGAGATTTGCAATAAGCTCGTATAAACAACCCTTTTATATCGATATCGACCTTTACAAAACAAGGCTAGGAGAAAGCTTCTGAAATCGACGATGAATCATCATTCGCAAATCAAGATTAGAAAGTGTTCTCAAACCGAGAATGAATTCACCTTCTCAAGGTTTATTTTAGATTTCATGACCATCACTGAAATTTATACTTCCTTTAACACTTTAAACGTGCAAGTAGAACTACTTATCAAGTTAAATAATTTGATTATTAGGTCAAATTATCACAAATAAAATGTCGAATTTTAGAGCCTGCCCAAAGCTGAAGTAAAAAAAAAGGCTAAAGCAAGGTATACAGTAAAAGATTTAAAAAAATTGAGAATTTTTTGTAAAGTTTTCTTTCGATTTTTAAGGAAACAAGCTTGACATACTGAGATTTTTACTAAATTTAAAAAAGGATTAATTAATCAACCTCTTTCTCAATCTTTGCAAACCAAATAAAAATTTAAATACAACATTTACCGTAAGGTTGCCTGCTATCTGAGAATTTATAGTGCCATATTTCAGAAAAAGATAATATTAAACTATAAAACATAAAACATTAAAAATTTACATAATTATGAAACAAATAAAATTTTTACCTCATTATATCTCCATACTTTTTCTTCATTTTCCATAACGTTTTATGTGGTTCAGCACCCAAAAAGGGTAAATAACCAACTAAGGGTAATCCTAATGGACCGGGTGGTTTATTTTTCGATTGGAATTTTCTGTATGTCCTTAGACCAATCAATCCAATACATAATGCAAGTGTAGAGAGTAATAATTGAGTTACAGAAATATTAAATAATAATTCTTTAGAATGGAGTAAATTTTCGAGCGCCATTTCCAACAATGTAGTTTTTTTTTTCTCCAAATCGTTGATTATATTCTGAGCTTATCTATCCTGATTTTTATTCAATAACTGAGAATAATAATTAAACTGCGATAACTTATCAGAGCATTTCTTACAACAGATTTCTTTTGGCAAAACCAATGAAATTACTTGCTACATATGTCATGACTAAACAACTGACATCAGACATAAGGTTTTCCCAGTTTTAAGTTACATTGTTTCTTTCATGTTAATGCTTAATCTCCCATAGTATTATTGCAAGTTGAATAATATAATTGCTTTATCTATTTGGGATGATTCATATTCATTTAACTTAATAATTTCATTGCTGAAATAATTTATTTGAACAATTTTGAGTCTTTATTTTTCAGGGTATTAAGTTATTAATTCTTCTGAATTTCACATATTCATAAATTCAATGTTTATTTGATTAATTGGTATTAATTTAATTTCATTAGTACTTTTATTATTTGATTGTTTTGATAAATTTTGATTAATTATTTCACAGAAGTAAACAAATTTTTCTCATATATTTATTATTAGTTAACTTTAAATTTTTTATTGTTATTATATTTATTAACTTTTAATTATTTGTAATGGGCAGAAAGTTTCTCGTTGCTGACGTAAGTACCCATTATTTAAAGAAAAAACATTATTCAACTTCTCCATTATATGTGTCACTTTGTATATCTTCTAAATTTGTATCATCACGCTTTGATGTCGATTCTTTCGACATTGTACGGGGACCTACATGATAAATAGTATATGAGGACCTACAGGTCCCTTATATCCTTGTTATTACGACAATTTGGCTTATTTAAATTATTCTAGAACATCCTTGAATGTCTACATCAATGATAGAACATATACATAAATCCACGACAAATTTCAAGCCAAATAGTCTTGTCTTGTTAGCCACTCAAAGCTCCAAATTAATTTGTTTTAGTTTTCGTGTATTTTTTGGCACGTTTGACTTCGACCTGTGTCATTCCCTTTTCTTTTGTGAATTTTGTATTATGATTCTCATGTAACTGAAGTTGAAACACCAATAGTTTAAAATCGAAAACAAATTTTATCGTTTAGATATTGTGGTGGAGTCTATTATTTATTAGAGAAATCGACATTTATAAAACCTTGATTTGACCACTTATCCTGGAGTATTGAACACTCTTTTAAAGCAGTGGGAGGTAAACTGTTAGTTTTCAAGAGAAAAGTCTCAAGATAAATTTATAGTGCTGAAAACAAAAACAATATGCTGCGAATACTCTACCACAATTAACTGTGCAGACCAATGCAGTGCTCTGAGTGTCAGAAATCGGAAGTCTGTTGTGCTGAATAAGCAGAAATAGCTGACTAGAGTGGCCATGTGCCTGTTCTTGGCTTTGACGCCAAGGAAGAAGAAGAAGAAGAAATGTGGTATTTATACTTATCTTAAGTTAGTGAATAAGTAACAGTAAAAAGCTTACTGTGTTATTAAATACTGTTTTATTAAACAATTATTGTATTAACACAGTCTACTTGTCTTTTTATCTTTGTTTTGAATTGGTAGTAGGCGGGTGAGTATTTTTTTTAATTTTCATCAGTATTTATAAATATTTGGAATCAAATCAAGTGATTGAATCTTTATTTCTTTTCAACTATGCAATTGAGACATGGTGGCTTAGGGGATAGAGAACTCGCCTTCCAATAAGGTGACCCGAGTTCGAATCCCAACGATGGGTGGTTGATACAAATTCCGCACCCGGCTCGCACTGATCGTAGTGCTGGCGTAAAGTATCCTCAGTGGTAGACGAGTCATGGGTTAGTACCCTTGCCATCAAGCTAACCGCGGGAGGTTTTGTGGTTTTCCTCTCCATGTAATCCCAATAATTAGTCCAGTTAATTTGCCATAAAAATAGTTTTTCCTTCATTTGAAAGTGTGTAGATTTAAATAATGATAAATAATATGTAAATGACAAAAAAATTACTCACAAATAAGACGAATTACACATTGTAAAAAGACGAAATTTAAAAGCAATAAAATGAACTAAAAAGGGTACTTTCAATAGCTAAGCGTTAAACTTATTTAATTTTTAAATAATATTGTTTTTGATATATGTACGTTTTTAACCAAAAAGCTTGAAGCAAATATTAACAAATTTGAAATTTTTCAAGAGACAATTTTTTTTTTTTTTTTTTGGTGAAAAACACCGCAATTTTTATGTACAGTGTACCAAAAAAATGGACCACCCTGAATGATCAGATCTTCACGTTCCAAGACTCAAAATTAATGGTTAAACTGGTTGACCTCAAATATGCAAATTAATTAGTGAAGACGATAATTTAAGTTACAAAATCAGACACGAAAACGTACTCTCTCTCTCTCAATAACTATACCTTTTCAATGAATTCAATTTCTGATTCCCAAAATCTAGCCACAATCTGGGAAACATGATCCAAATAGTTTGGTCAGGAGAGCAATCCAAAGTTAACCCCTTAAAGTTAATTTCATTTTTTGCCTATTTCACAACAACTTGAGATTTTTATGCGAATTGAAAAAATTTTGCACACAGTCATAAAATTCGTTTTTCCAAAAATAGTTCCATGCAAAAAATAAATTTTTGTAAATGTTTATAATATTTTATTATTTTATTTAATAATAGTCAAAAAATTTTGAATTGTGAGGTATGCAATTTTTTACGCCATTTTAGGTTTTGTAATTTACAAAACAAAATGCCAAATTCCGGCGAAATCGATTTCATAGTTCCTGAGAAATTAAATTTTAAGGAATTTATTGGGCTACTCCTATATTTGGGGGGGTCAGATATCCGTGCATGCTTATTCAATGAAAGTGGGTTTTTGTGTCTGGTTTCGTAACTTAAAATATCGTAGGCACTAATTAATTAACATGATTGAGGTCATCCCCTCAAATCATTAAAATTGAGTCCTTGACCATGAAGATCCGATCATTAAATCTAAAGTTATTCAGGGTGGTCCGATTTTTTTTGTGCATTGTACCTAATAAAAACAATGTAAAACACGTATGTTGTTTTCGTGAGAAAATTCTGGAAGTTGATTTAGAACCTATCTGGATATCTGGATACAATACTAAGGAATATTTGGAGAAACTTTTTTACACTTGATATGTAAAAATTTTCGCCTGGAAAACACTACCTCCTAACTGCCGAAAAGTTTCAAAACAAAACAAGAAAAAACTCTATTATTACTTACAAAGTTTCAAAACAAACTTTTTAGATAAAAATATCCTCTTTAAATTTCAGCAAAATATCTTTAAGTAATTACATTGCAATTACAAATTTGTAATAAAATAATTTTGATAATTGATATTGATACTTTCACACTTTGAATAATTATGATTTTTAAAATTAAATTTTATACTTTTATAATTATAATTTTTAAAATTAAATTTTACACTTTTAATAGTTATGATTTAATAAGTATTATTTTTGGAGATACGAAGAATCTTTAAGGGCTAATTTTAAATAACTAAAACAATTTTCACGTGCAATAGATTTTGTTTCATATACGACAATTTGATGTACGACTGATGGAAAATCGACTGAGGCATTTTTCTCTCGAATTATAATATAAGCATATAGTACATTTTTCAAATTGTTTTAGATACCTTACACCAGTCAGAACATGAATATGGTATAATTTTCTAAGCTTTAATTTGCATCACTATTTTCCAATTATAGAATATAAAAGAATTTATTATAAGAATTTAAAAGAATTATAGAATATATAGAATTTTAATCAAAGTAATAACATTAATGTGCCTTAAATTATACGGTATTTAAAATAATGATTAAAAATTCATTAGACTAATTGCAATAAAGATTTTTTTATATATTTCGTTATAATTATTTAGGGTTCCAGCACAGTTTGGAACAAAAATAAACGATTTTCATATGTATGTTAACTTTCAGTCAAATAAGGTAAAACTCGTGGAAATGATGTATGACCCAGCGCAATGATAAAGGCACAATGAAAACAATATTACATAAAAATATCTTTAAATAGATAATCTACAGCACGATTTTAAAGTAAACATGAAAATTATACATAGAGATAGAGTCAACGATAATCTTTAATTCCTTTCCTTAAAACATAGAGGCTGTGGGGCTAAATGCTCAACTAATCCATTCACAATTTTATATTCAACTTGTGAACCTGGTGGGACAGATATTTCAAACCTTCTAACTATTTCAGTAAAATAGGCCAGGATTTCCATCCAGGCAATAGTTTCACCAGGACAGTTCCTTCTACCTGTCAAGGAAAAACAAATAAAACATGTACAAGCAAGTATTTAATATGTACTATTATTCAATGTGCAACTAATTGCACTTTTAAAAATATTTATTTTCGTTGCACAATAAATACAGTGCGAATTTTGAAACAAATTATGTAAAATAAACCCTATTTCAGTGTAAATTCAGTACATTTGATTACACTACATTTTGATTTCATTTGAACAGTTAAATTATAAAAAGGTGATTAGTGGCTTTTGTTTTTTCATAAGACTAACTAGTTTTTCTCTTTAGTTAAAAAAATTTTAGGAATGACATTTTTTCATCTCATAAATTTACCTAAAGCAGCAAGGAGTTATGAAATTATAAAATTTATCAGAAAAATATATAGTTCAAAATTATAGACAAAAAATTACAGTTCAAAATGCTATAATTGTTCAGATTTGAGTTGACTAACCCTAAAAATATAAAAATTCTATATATTTTAAATTTTTGAAATTTAATTTAAGTCAGTATTTAAAAAAGGTGATATCATTTCTAGAATATAAAACTTTTTATTTGTTAACAGTTCAGACCTGTAATGTTCGGTTAATTTTTATTTAATTTATTTAAAAGTACAAGGCATTTTTAAGTCAAAATATTGGTAAGGAACATAAGTGTTAGTTTTAAGTGCAAAACATTTAATTTCACTTCTTAAAACTTTTTAAGTATTATTCCTTAAAAATATAACAGTTTGAAAATAACTTCCTTTAAAACTTATTGAAAAATCTGCAATAAGTTACATCTTGTAACAGTCTAAAGTTCTGAGTTTTGAACGTAAACAATAGCTGTAAGTATAAAATATGTAATTCTTAGTTTGAATTTTAGATAAAATTGTTTTTGATTGAGATTTGATGCTGAATCCTGGAGCTTCTGACATTCTAAAATTTATTTTTCTTAAACCTCAAAATTTTTCAAATTAATATTGCTTCACAATTCCGAAATGCGCTAAATTAGATATTAAAATGAGATAGTTTAATACGAAAATGCTACTAACCAATAGAAAATGGCGCATAACTCTCTGGATGTTTTCTTAGCTTTGTTCCGTTATCTGTTAAAAATCTTTCTGGTTTAAATTTTTCAGGTTCACTCCAATATTGTGGATCATTATGAAGAGCCCAAAGGTTAATTGTAATTTCGGCGCCTTTTGGAATGATGAAGTTCTTGATTGAAATATCTTGATTAGCTCTAAATAAAAAAGTTAAAAATGTATGAAAAAACTTTCAGAACAAAACAATGGCTATATACAAGAAACCTTTTCTAAGTTGATGCCTGTTCCAATTCCTAATTAACATACATAATTTTTAAAATACTTAAAAGGAAAAATGCTTTTTGTTTAGATTAATTATTTATAAACTTGTAATTTTGTTTTGCTTCGCAATGTAAAGCAATTTTTTTTACAATAAATGTTTGAGAAAGCATAAATTTACAAAGCATATCTAAATTTTTTTTTCCGGCAAGTATTGCTAATAAAGTTTGTTTATGAAAGAAACCTTACTATTTTTTTCAGTCTTAAAATCTTAAAACACACGTTATTGTGGCTGCATTAATTAGCCAAATTGCGTATTACCTTAAAAAAAAATTTAAGATGACAACTGGTCAAATTTCAAATCAGCAAAATGTCAATTTACCTATTAAATTTAAAAGTAATAATATTATGATTCTTCAGATTGTGACAAATTAATTCGACAACAGAATACTGGTACCAGTTAATCAATAAACTAGATTTACGGAATATATGTCATTACCTTATAATCAGTTAGAGAATTTATGACGATTCATAACAATGTAACTAAGAAAACGAGGTATTATCCAAACTACCATAATATGTTTTTCGGTTCTATGGAAACACCAGAAAGCTCGGTAATTTTTACTAAAGCACTTTGGTTATGCTTTTCTAAAATTAACAATAAAATATGGTTTTATAACATGTGATAAAATTAGGTAATTTTATCGTGATACCTTAAATCAGGGCATAAAAACCTTTATTCTGTTAAATATACCTTTCAGTTATGTATTTTATTATTAAATGCGTGGTAATAAGAACTATAATTTTTAAAATCAGAATTCCCAGTTAATCATTACCGTATGAAAGGGAAAATTGCAGAATGAATGATTTAAATATCATATATTTCAGTTTTTATTACCAAAATGACTTTTTTTCTTCAAAACTACCATTACCATACACGATAATTTTACCAGTATTCTTTTCTCCAGTAAGAAGAGGTCAGTAATAAGAGGTCATGTCAGTAGTAATAAGAGGCTAAGATCTAAACAACACTTTTCGTTTTAAATAAATTAGGCATTATGTATTTAATTGCAAAAATATCCATATTGATTAAAAAAGAAATTATTAAAAAACTTTTTACTATATAGAGGCACTTGCAATGAAATCGCTATTCATTTATAAAAACATTTAAATAGAAAAAATGCTTTGCAATATTTTACGTATGTATCACGCTATAATGAAAACACATTTAGAACACAGATATACCGAAGAGATAGTTTTATTAAATAAATTCATTTAATGATTAAATAACTGCAAAATAATTTAAGGGTATAAGGCAGCGAACTGATAAGCCGCATTTCCTAAACGTCAATAAAAGATTTTTTTACAGACAGTTTTAGTGAGTATAAAAACACTATCCCCATGGAGGAGGCGTGGTGGCTCAGGGGATAGAGATTTCGCCTCCGCCTGCTTACATCGACCACAGTGCTCATGAAAAATATCCTCAGTGGTAGACGGATCATGGGTTAGACTTCCCTTGCCATCAGGCTAACCGTGGGACACTTCCGTGGTTTTCCACTCCATCTAGCGCAAATGCGGGTTAGTTCCATCAAAAAGTCCTCCATGAGGGCAAATTTTTCCCGATACTTGATCCAGAGTTCCCTTGTCTTCTGGATTGGGTACCGAAATACAAGGCAACGAAGTTGAACATTGGTAGTCGTATCGGCTGTTAAACTACGGTTATAAAATAAAATGAAAAATATTCCCATGTAGACAGTAAAAAGATTCTGTTATTTTCCGATAAACTTCCGAAAACTTGTAAACTGGAAATTTATTTTTGAACCACTCAATAAAAATAAATAACAGTCGAAAAAATGTAGCTTATCAATTGTAATCCCAACTTCTTTAAATTTTTAATCCCCCTTGAATAACATTTCTTACTGTCTGGTTGTACTCAGAGGTACGATGCTTGAGAAACGCTGCGATTCCATCAAGACAGCAAAGGTGTAAGGAATTTTGTCTCTCTCTTCGTACTTAACAGCACCATCTCTTCCTATAACATCCATAATTTCTCTATAAACTTTATCTTGAATAGCTTTATAGTCAGCCATTAGTCTGAAGAGCCAACCCAGTGAACTTAAAATAGTGTCACTGGCACCAAGGAATAAAATCTTCACATTACCTTCCAGCATTTCCTCTAAAAAACATACATAATTTCACTTGGTAAGAAAAAGTTGTTTTATTTATAAAGTAAAAAAAAGAAAAAGAAAATTTCGTTATAACTAAATAATGATGGGCAAGAAAATTTAGATATATTGAGGAAAAAATTACATAACAATAAATTAGAATATTTACATGTTTTTTAAAGTAAATAAACACTTAGAAAAAACTACCAGAATATGAGGAAATTTACATGTTTTTGGCTCTATGAAAATATCAAAAAACTTGGTATTTAACAATAAATTAGAATATTTACATGTTTTTTAAAGTATATTTTTGTAAATAAACACTTAGAAAAAACTACCAGAATATGAGGAAATGTACGTGTTTTTGGCTCTATGAAAATATCAAAAAACTTGGTATTTAACAATAAATTAGAATATTTACATGTTTTTTAAAGTATATTTTTATAAATAAACACTTAGAAAAAACTACCAGAATATGAGGAAATGTACGTGTTTTTGGCTCTATGAAAATATCAAAAAACTTGGTATTTAACAATAAATTAGAATATTTACATGTTTTTTAAAGTATATTTTTATAAATAAACACTTAGAAAAAACTACCAGAATATGAGGAAATGTACGTGTTTTTGGCTCTATGAAAATATCAAAAAACTTGGTATTTAACAATAAATTAGAATATTTACATGTTTTTTAAAGTATATTTTTGTAAATAAACACTTAGAAAAAACTACCAGAATATGAGGAAATGTACGTGTTTTTGGCTCTATGAAAATATCAAAAAACTTGGTATTTAACAATAAATTAGAATATTTACATGTTTTTTAAAGTATATTTTTGTAAATAAACACTTAGAAAAAACTACCAGAATATGAGGAAATTTACATGTTTTTGGCTCTATGAAAATATCAAAAAACTTGGTATTTAACAATAAATTAGAATATTTACATGTTTTTTAAAGTATATTTTTATAAATAAACACTTAGAAAAAACTACCAGAATATGAGGAAATGTACGTGTTTTTGGCTCTATGAAAATATCAAAAAACTTGGTATTTAACAATAAATTAGAATATTTACATGTTTTTTAAAGTATATTTTTGTAAATAAACACTTAGAAAAAACTACCAGAATATGAGGAAATGTACGTGTTTTTGGCTCTATGAAAATATCAAAAAACTTGGTATTTAACAATAAATTAGAATATTTACATGTTTTTTAAAGTATATTTTTGTAAATAAACACTTAGAAAAAACTACCAGAATATGAGGAAATGTACGTGTTTTTGGCTCTATGAAAATATCAAAAAACTTGGTATTTAACAATAAATTAGAATATTTACATGTTTTTTAAAGTATATTTTTGTAAATAAACACTTAGAAAAAACTACCAGAATATGAGGAAATGTACGTGTTTTTGGCTCTATGAAAATATCAAAAAACTTGGTATTTAACAATAAATTAGAATATTTACATGTTTTTTAAAGTATATTTTTGTAAATAAACACTTAGAAAAAACTACCAGAATATGAGGAAATGTACGTGTTTTTGGCTCTATGAAAATATCAAAAAACTTGGTATTTAACAATAAATTAGAATATTTACATGTTTTTTAAAGTATATTTTTGTAAATAAACACTTAGAAAAAACTACCAGAATATGAGGAAATGTACGTGTTTTTGGCTCTATGAAAATATCAAAAAACTTGGTATTTAACAATAAATTAGAATATTTACATGTTTTTTAAAGTATATTTTTGTAAATAAACACTTAGAAAAAACTACCAGAATATGAGGAAATGTACGTGTTTTTGGCTCTATGAAAATATCAAAAAACTTGGTATTTAACAATAAATTAGAATATTTACATGTTTTTTAAAGTATATTTTTGTAAATAAACACTTAGAAAAAACTACCAGAATATGAGGAAATGTACGTGTTTTTGGCTCTATGAAAATATCAAAAAACTTGGTATTTAACAATAAATTAGAATATTTACATGTTTTTTAAAGTATATTTTTGTAAATAAACACTTAGAAAAAACTACCAGAATATGAGGAAATGTACGTGTTTTTGGCTCTATGAAAATATCAAAAAACTTGGTATTTAACAATAAATTAGAATATTTACATGTTTTTTAAAGTATATTTTTGTAAATAAACACTTAGAAAAAACTACCAGAATATGAGGAAATGTACGTGTTTTTGGCTCTATGAAAATATCAAAAAACTTGGTATTTAACAATAAATTAGAATATTTACATGTTTTTTAAAGTATATTTTTGTAAATAAACACTTAGAAAAAACTACCAGAATATGAGGAAATGTACGTGTTTTTGGCTCTATGNTTTTTTTTTTCATTTGATGATGGTTCTCTACAGAATGGTTTTTTACGTCTGATTAAGAACTATAAGAATAATAAAAAAAGAAACAATATGAAAGTTTTTATTTCAATGTAAAGAATTCTTGAAATCGTTTTTTTATCCTAAGAATTCTTTATTTTCCGTTTTTTAGTTTACTACTTCCTTAAGTAGAATAAATCTATCAATTGTCGTAATTTTGTGGTTATGATTTGGTACTAGCTCCTTTTACCATTCCTATTAAGCAATACGTATTCCAAATCCAATAGAAACGTGTTCCTTTTGGTTTGGTATCGAACTGATTAGTTATTGATGTATTGCCAATGTACAGGTAAGAGAAGTGACTTCAGCTTAGACACCTATATTAAAAAGTATCGATTAGCGCTAATATATATGCTTGTTGCTAAAAATAATAGGATTTTTTTTCGAAAAATTATTCTTTAATGCTTGTGTTCCCCAAAACTATTTTCAGTGAATAATAAACTTATTCCAGCTTATTCTTAGAAAATAATAAGCGAATAATAAGCTTATTAAGCTTTTATATTATTATAAGCTTTTTTCTTATTATTAATTAAGGAGTTGATATTGAATAGGAATTAAGTGAAAGGAATAAAAGCTTACAGGATATTGAAACAACGATTGTTGAAAATGCTGTTGTTCGTCCTAAATTACTAAATAACACAATCTACGGGTTTGACGAGTTTCAACATTTCCTAGAAGAGGGAAAGCTTCTGCACGGATCAATTTATTAGTCCGACCTTACGAACATAAACTACGCAGTAGAGAATGAATAAAAAAGAGGCCACTACGCTCGGGCTACTAACCTGCGCAGTGGGGTAATTCGACATTCTCTACGTTTGGACTACTAAAGAAATGTAATTCTCGTTTATGGTAACCAGTGCGGAAGCCTTCTCCCTTTTTGAAGGTGTTGGTAACTCCTTTGCAGCACTATTGGTTTTTAATAAAAAAATTTCGAAGGAGAGAAAGGGATTTTCCACTTTACTTCCTTTTAATTTCAAGACCTCTACATACTTTTTATGGATCTTTACAGCAGAATGCTTTTGTGTTATCTTTACACTAGTTCGTAGCTTATTACCTGAGAAATAATGTCGAACATTTGTTTCATGGTTGGATAATTTGTCCAATTTTCCGAGATACGAATTTATGAAATCATCCATGTCACTCAATTCTGGAAATGCCTTATGTCGATAAATCTCATCTCTAAAAGAAAAAAAAATTACTCTTATATTACGCACTGAGGAAAAATAAGTATAGTCAAAACTACCAGAATATGAGCAAATGCACTGTGCTTCTGGCTCTATGGGAATAACCATCAAAAAGCTGGGTAATTCTTATTAAAATACTTTGGTGATGGTAAAATTTAAAATAAAATATGGTTTTATAATATGCGATAAAATTTAGAAATTTTATCATTATACCTTAAAGCATGGCAAGGTAAAATGAAAGAAGTTAAGAAAAGAAGAAGGAAAACAGTAATTTTGTTAAATTTGCTTTTCAGTTTCTTAGTTTTTTTTTTTTTTTTTTTACTAAATCTGTGGTTATAAGAAATAAAATTTTGAAAGACAGAATTTCCAGTTAGCCATTAACATGTAAACGGAAAAATTACCATCTGAATGATTTAAATGAAGTATATTTTTTTCTTAACAGTATCATAGTTATTGTTTACCAGTAATATTCCTATCATACAGTACGGTAATTTTACTTGAGTCTTTTTTTCTCCATGTACAAGTAATAAAAACAAAAAAATTCACAAATTGAGTTTAATGAATAGTACTTTAAACTATTCAATTTACCAATTTTCTCAAATAAAATGACAAGTAAAACTTATGAGAGCATCACCTTATAAATTTCTGGAACCTCCTCACAATTTTTGCAGCTCTATCGTAACCTCCGATCTTGAATGTTTCAAAAAACTTTCTTAAGCCAGGTATGACGGTTCCGGGATTAGATGGACCCATGTATGTAAAAGATATCTCAGAATAGTCTACAGACAGTTGAACTTTATCAGCTTCTTCATCTTTTTTAAGTCGGCGACCAATTAAAAGTGAGATTATATTCGATGAAATAGAATGTGCTAGTGAGCGAGATGCATCTACCGGATTTCCCTTTGCGTTTTGAATTTCATCAGCAAAGCTATGCACTTCCTCCTGTAATTATATTACAACAACAATTAGAAATTTTTCATGGCTGTAATGGATATAGTTTTTTAAACAGAATTATCTGCCTTTAGTTCGAATAAAAAAATATCAGTTTCCCTCAGTCAAAGAGTTCGGATCTATGATTCAGAATTTTGGCAATGTGAATCATATTTTTGAAATGTGGAAGTCTTGAAGAAGGGGTACCAGCGCATGTGCTGTCCATATCACCTGACCAGGGGTAAAATTACAAGGCATTTCTACCATGGCCCCTAAAAGATTGAGCCCTTTAAATTGGACTAAGTTCGTGGCCATGGTTGAGTGATGCGTGCGAATCATATTTCAAATAGCTAAATAAACTAAATAAATAGCTAAATAAACATTTACCGTGACTAGATCTTCCCAGGAACGCCTTCCTAATCCTAGATCTCGAGTTGCTGATAAACAAAACCGTCTTTGCTCAACCCATTTTTCTCCATTTGCAGTAATGAATCCTGTACAATATATAAAGATGTAAATAATAAGACAAAAATTTGTTCCAAAATTACAATTATCTAATATATTTCATAATATATAAGGAAGTAAATAAAAAGGAAAAAATATGTTATTAAACACTATCTATTTTATAGACGCATGCTTTTTTTTATCTTTTTCAGTTATTTATTTATTTATTTTTTTTGTGGCCTGAAATTTTAAAACTAATTTTGTTTTCATTGGACGCACTGGTTCTTCTCAAAGCATGTCTTCATACCTATTTCTTAAAAAAAACTAACTCAAAATTCCTGAATTTTCAAAATCTATTAAAACTTTTTCAAAAATTCCTAATCTTAATAATTTAACTATATATTTTTAAAAAAAAAGAAAAGGCAAAGCATATGCATCAATACGAATCAAAAATATTTGCAGACAACATTAGAATCAAGATATTTTTAAAGTTGGACGTTAATTTATTCAATCAAATCCCTTCTTTGATTTAAAAAAAAAAGTATCCCCGTTATTGTTAAAAACTCTGCCACAATCAGTTGAGTTGACAAAGTTCGATCCTAGTCCGGCACATTCCCTCTTCTACGAACAACGAAAACGTAACATTTTCACTCCTCAATAGACTGCAGCACTACAATATTTCGCCTCGTTCAGCAGTTTTCAACAAGCAAATCGTCTAAATCTCAAACAACGTCGAGGTCCATACTAAACGCAATTTTTACAAGCATAACGTTCATTCACGCAATTTTGTTTCTGACGGTCAGAGAATGGAGCACTTATCTGTTTGAGAATTTTTTTAAGGTATATACTTATTTGTTAGATTTTGATATTCATTCTTTCCTTGTGTATTAAATATTATTTAGAAATTAATTTATATTTTATTGAATATCTGTAAATTTTTGATACCAATATATCTAATGCACATTATGCATGAGGGGGGATAACCTGGTTGATAGAGAGTTGGACCCCTGCCCAAGAGGTCGAGAGTTCGATCCCCGCCAGCCAAAATAGTGACTGTCGCAAGCTAAATCTGTCGGACTGACAAAGTCGTGTAAGTTCCTATAACAAATCTTTCCTTCTGGTGGTACTGGATCGAAGATTATTCGTGCTCTGGTTCAGGTCAAAATTACGATCTGTGAGTGGATGGATGGTCTGTGGATGTGTCCTCCTTGTAAAACGGGGTGTGACGTATGTTCTGCTTAAGAAGTCGAATTTTCTGTCACTGGAAAACAAGAAGAAGTTCACCCCTATGCCTTAAAATAGGTTTGGCAGTATTGACTAGTGACATGAAAGAATAACAACAATATTATGTGTAATATTATAAAATCAGTACATGCTGTATATATATATATATA